AAATCTCACCGGCTCAGGGTTGACTCAGCCTTCCATCCTTCCGAGGTGGGTGAAATGAGCACCCGGATTGTTGGGGGCAATATGCTGACTCTGTAAACCGCTTAGAGAGGGCTGAAAGCCCTAAGAAGCAGTATATAAATCTAACTGCTATTGCTATTAAGGATGAGTGCGTTTCCAGCTGTGACTGGAAGGACCAATTTTCTGCCTCACAGCCAAGTGGGACTCACCGCAATCATTTGAGCCACATAACTTTCTGGTCCAGTATATTCCGTGGGATCTTTCACTCTGACCAGGACGATAAAATAGAGGTAGTGCCACATGTTGTGCTCCGACTTGATGTGTTCTTCAAATGAAACCGTCTTGTTGTCAAACTTGTCTCTCTCAAGGCCTGCGGAAAAAAGAAAAAAGGGGGAATTCATTAGAATCTTTTCATACATTAAAGCAGGAGCTCCCAATCTTGGCATCTGGAAGACTTGGGGGACTTCAGCTCCCAGGATTCCGTCTGTCTCTCTCTGAGGAATTCTGGGAGTTGAAGTCCACAAGTCTTACTGTAAAGCTTGGAGACTCCTGTATTAAAAACTCCCTTAAGAAATGAGCGGACAAAAATCCTCCAACAGGTAGTCCTTGAGTTACAACAGTTATAAGAGGAGAGGGGAAGAGAGAATAAAGAGAGAAGATAATGGAAGGGAAAAGGAGAGGAAAGGAGGAGAGGAAAGGAAAAGAGAAAAGAAGAGAAGCAAAGGGGAGAGAAGAGGAGAAGAGAAGAGGAGAGAAGAAGAGGAAAGGAGAGGAAAAGAGAAGAGTAGGAGGAGTAGAGGAGTGGAGAAGAGAAGCAAAGGAGAGGGGAGAAGAAAGGAGAAGAGGAGAAGAGGAGAGGAGAAGCAAAGGGGAGAGAAGAGAAGAGAATAGAAGAGGAGAGAAGAGAAAAGAAAAGAAGAGGAGAGGAAAGGAGAAGACAAGAAGAGAAGATGAGAAGAGGAGAAGAGAAGAGGAAGATAATCCACTTAAGGAATGCGTGTTTCCCTTAGGAACAGAATTGTTGGGCTCAAATCATAAGTTGAGGACTACATTGCACATTGGACCAAAATTGTTTCCAGCGCGAACCCCCAGATCAGGTGCATTCACAACATGTGCATGTCAATACCTCTCTGCTTTACCGTTTCTTAAAAAAAAAACCCCACACATACAGCATTTTTCGGAATATAAGATGCACCGGAGTATAAGACATACCATGATTTAGAAGGGATAATATTTTTTTAAAAAAAGTTTTTGCACTCGGCAGGTCTCCCAACCCCCCTGCACGCCTCAATTTTTTTTGGGGGGGAAAAAGGGCATGCAGAGGATTTGGGAGGCTTGTAGAGTGCTCTTGGGGGCTGGGAGGGGGCCAAAATTAGCAAAAACAGCCTGTTTTTCTCTCGTTTTTGCCTTCCCCAGCTCCCGGGAGCACTTTTGCAAGCCTCCCAAACTCTCTGCACGTCCATTTTTGCAAAGGGGGAGGGGTTTTGGGAGGCCAAAAATGCTGTATTCAGTGTACGAGATGCACCCAGATTTTCACCCTCTTTTTGGGGGTGGGTGGGGGGGAAAGGTGCGTCTTATACTCCGAAAAATACAGTAATGACGAGACGCAAACCTACGAATACATACCGCAGATGAAACAGGTTGTCTTGAGGATTTCTTCTTTTTTCTGCTTTTCGCTTCTGAGATCGGCAAACGTATCGATGATGACTCCGAAAATGAGGTTCAGCACAATAATGATGACGATGAAATAAAAGAGGAGGTCATAAACCACCCGAGCAGCAAACAGCGGCTCCTTAAAAGAAACGGCATTTGTTATTTGTTTTGGGGTTGTAAGTTGAGGACATGCCAAGATCAAGAAAAGGCAATAGCAATAGCAGTTAGACTTATATACCNTTGTTCTTTTCTTCTGGCAGCTCTGCGCATGCACACACTGGGAACGGGCTCCAGCTGTTCCTCTGACTCACTCCTGTCTAGCTCCGTAGGCGCCTGATCACTGCCAGACGGCCTCGGCCTCGTCTCTGCCTCCAATTAAGAGCCCTCGGCTCCCTCCCCAAGACACAGAGATGAGCACTGTGCCCTAAAATAGGGCACGTTTTACCTTTTGTATTTAAAAAGGTGCATCGGATAGCATGCCAATTTTTTTGCCAAGCTATCAGACACTAAAGGACCCAACAACATTTCGTAAATGTTAGAATTTTGCTGTGTTTTTTTTAAACAGATAACTTGATAAGAGCTTACCTAACAGGTTGAACGTTTTTTGAGTTTCCTTCATGTCGGCGTGGTCATTCACTCCTTCAATTGTGATGTTTCTACCCATGTTAGTATAATTAAATTCTTCAGCACTTGCTACGGGTGGAAAGCAAATATGTCACCAGATATGCTGACCATGGAGGCCACAGACTCCTAGGAATGGGTCACTGGTAGCCAAATATTGCAAAGATTTTTTGGGGGGGGATGAGTCTTCTAAAATTAATACTGAGAAATCATTGAACTTTTTCGGGAAAGACTTAATTACAACATGTTATTTGCCAGAAATGGTGTAGGGCAGTGATGGTGAACCTTTTTCTTATGACGTGCCAAAATTTTGCACGGGCATGCTATAGTGCGCGCATGTGTGCCCCCACCAATTCAATTTTTCCCACCCTCCTGCACATGCGTGCACAACGCCTCCCCAGGCTCCGGAGGCTTTCTTGAAGCCTGGGGAGGGCGAAAACGGCCTCCCCCAGAGGCCCTCCGGAAGGCGGCAACAGATCGTTTCCAACTTCCAGTTGGCCCATAGTTAGGGAGAGAGGGAGAGAGTAGGTAGATAGATAGAAGGATAGAGAGAAAGAGAGAGAGAGAGAGAGAGAGAGAGAAAGAAAGAAAANTTCTTCTGTTACCCTGCCCAGGACAACAGAGCTGGAAAGCAGGTTAGGGGTGAGGAGGGAATGGGGATTTTGCAGTATCCTTCCCCTGCCATGGCCACCAAGCCACACCACACCCACAGAACCAGTAGTAAAATATTTTGAATACCACCACTGCACAAATGTAAATGCTTTTCGCAACCCAATTTTAATATGACAAATCACTAGCTGACAGCATTTTTCTTATGTGTTGCTGAAATCTTTCGTATAACCTCCACCTAGTGAATACATTTACTCTGTCTTTAGCTAGTTTCAGAGCCAGGAAGCTTTCCACTTTATTTTATTAGAAAAATATATTATTATTCTACATAGCCCACTCTTTCCCCAACTGTCCTGCTTCATCATCTTCTTCATGTTGTAAAGACATTTATGTATAGGAGGGCCAATGTTGGCGTTCAATGCATGTTTTCTGACATCTTTGCAACTCCAGATAAGGACAATCTCGCACAATAATCCATGCAGACCATGGCCAAGAATTGCCAAGCAAATAAAGCCCAGATCATATTATTTTCTCCGTAGGTTCTGCAGTTGATCATATTATTCTGACAATTTCAGCCAGCCAAACATATATTGAAGCTTCAAAATACAATTAGCTACAAAGGAATGTGCATATGTGATTTTATAACTTTGATCGTATCGGTGTTATTAATGAGTTCAGATGGTGAAGCGTTCCTAGATTCCATAATAAATATTTTCCTTTCCTTCCTTGTAGAGACTATTCTATGTGCAAAATGATATCTAGTATTGATACTCTGTTAGACAGCTGGACATACTAATTTTGTTTTCATTAGCGTTGTGCATTCACATTTTCTTTAATGCTGCCAAATAAGAAAAATATGATGATTTTTCCCCATGAAAGAACATGCAGCTGTAATTATTCCTAAAGCAATTATTTTTAAAATGCCCAAGCATTAAATCTCCATCTATTTTGCATGGAATTATAATGAAATGGATATATATATATATATATATATATATATATATATATATANACTTCTGCTGAGTCACAACAGGCGCCTATGGTGGCCCAAGCACTCTGACAGCGGAAATGGGCTCCCAAGCTCTGCTTCCAGCTGCGACAGTCTCCTGCAACCCTCGTCCAATAAAAACGGATTGCATAAGGGTTGTACGCGGCCCTCCTGAGCTCTGTTTTCACTGGCAGGGGCACCACAGGCTGGTCTTTTTGATATTTGCGGGATGGCCCCACGGGCCAGATCTAAGCACCCTGTGGGCCAGATCCGGCCCCCGGGCCTTGAGTTTGACACCCCTGACATAAGAGGAGCTGTATTAGGTGACAAAATAGACCTACAAGTGTCTTCAATTTATAGCCATTCACTTAGCAAGTATTCAGAGTTGCAGGCTACTAAAAAAAAAAAGTTACTTAGAATCATTCCTCCCACTTATGCCTGTCAAACCACTCCCACAGATATGTAGCCAAAATTCAGGAGCTGAGAAACATGCCCAGTTAATTTGTTGATTATTTACTGCCCTGTGTCCCTTCACTGTTGAATGCAGGCACTAGCTGTTAGGGATGAGTCCGTGATGACCAGGGGTGGGTTTCAACCGGTTCGCACTGGTCCCTGCGATCCGGTTGGTCGCCGAACCCGGAAGTAAGTAATTTCCAGGAACGGCGAAGCCGCCCCCCCGCGCCCGCGCGCACCCGCGCCCGCTCCTTACCCGGTTTTGACAATTCTGCGCTTCTACGCATGCGCAGGACGCATACAGCGCCTGCGCGATCCTCCAGTAGCAGCTGGAGCATCGCACAGATGCTAGTACACATGCGTGCGCCGCACGCGTGCGCGAGGACGCCGCCGGCCTCGTTCCAACCGAACCGGTTGGAACGGGGCGAGAAACCCACCCCTGGTGATGACCATGGAACATGCATAATAAGACATAATATGGGGGGGGGGGGTTGGTTGTTTGCAGAAAGAAAGAAGAATTGTGGTTGGGCACAATTTCTGGGAAATGGCAGGGGGATTTTGAATATTTTCATTAAGGCTCCTGCAATTCTCCACAAACTTTTCCTTTGTGGTCAGAAAACAATATTCACGCCCTATTCCCAGGCAAGAGGTTTGCTCACAGCTCTCAAAATTCCTGCTGAGCTGTTGTATACAAGAGGATGTGTGCAAAAGTGTGACAGTCTCCCATTAGGCAGAGAGGGGCGGGGAGGGGAAGACTTTGGTTTCCACTGTACTTTAACAAGAAAGCAGTGTGTGTCCGAAACTTTAAAAGGTTACATCTAGTGGGTATTTTCAGTCAGGGAGAGATCAATACCGCTATTTAGTACCTAATAAATGGCTTTTATTGACCTAGACTGTATGTGTGTGTGTATAAAAAAGCACCCTGATCTCTTTCACCCTTTCTGTCATATCTGTTTGCAGCTGGAGATATATGTGTGATGCCTCTTCCCCTCCTCCCTTCAAAATCTCCCCCGTCATTTACCTTTTCCATAAATCCTTTGACACAACTTTTCTGGTTTTCAGGCAGGGCAATAATTCAAATCTAAGTATTTGAAATAGCTGTTTTGGCTTCCATTTTCTTTGTCATATCCTCCATATGAATGTTACGCTGCATCCTTTCAAATTCAAACCTTTATTTTCACAGTCCCAGTGGTGGGATTCAAATTTTTTTACTGCCAGTTCTGTGGGCGTGGCTTGGTGGGCATGGCAGGGGAAGGATACTGTAAAGTCTCAATTCCCTCCCCACTCCAGGGAAAGGTTACTGCAAAATCCCCATTCCTCCTGATCAGCTGGGACTCGGGAGGCAGAGAATAGATAGGGGCGGGGCCAGCCAGAGGCGGTATTTGCCAGTTCTCCGAACTACTCAAAATTTCCGCTACCGGTTCTCCAGAACTAGTCAGAACCTGTTGAATCCCACCACTGATGTGTACAAT